CATTCGTCTGCCGATGGACATTCAGTTTCCCTCCACCTCTTGGCGATTGTGAATAACGTTGCATTGAACACGGTTGTGCAAATGTCTCTCCTGGACCCTTGTTTCAATTCTTTTGGATATACATCCATAAGTGAGATTGCTAGATCATATGGTAGTTCTATTTTTAATTTCTTGAGGACCCTCCATACTGTTTTCCACAGTGGCTGCACCACTCCACATCCCCACCAACAGCACATAAGGGTGTGAATTTCTCCTCGTCCTTGCCGATACTTATTTTCTCGTTCTCAGGGTAGACCCCCTGCATCTTAAAGATCCCATCATGACTTGGACCCCATTCTGCCCACTCATCTCAAGTACCCAAGTGGCCACCTCGAGGGGCTGAGCAAATGTATCCACCTTGGCGTCCTAGTCTGCAGCAGTTGGATTATTGTGGCGGGCAGTTACACAGCCCACGTTCACTGTCCTTCAGAAATCTCATGGGGCCTGTCATAATTGAATTCTCAACACCACACACCCCAGGGTATTCTAAACACGGCATTTATCAAGAGCCTGTGTGACTATATGGTTTGGCCATTAATTACGGCTGAGGAATCTGAATTTCTCACAACAACTAACAACCCAGATGCTACCAATTGGGAGAGAACCGAGCCCTTCCTGTACTTCCATCTATACTGCTCTTCATTCAGCCCATTGTGAGGACTCATCTTTATGTTCACCAACTAGTTTTACCATCCACAGGGCAAACAGCAGTGAGCTTTGATATGGGGTCCTGCCATTTGATACGAGAACTCCCCAGAGAGGACAAAGCAGCTTGCTTCAATTCAGTGGAGAGAGAGACAAGCCTCAGAACATCCAGCTCTAAAATGGGCTCCTCAAGTTGTCCTACCACCAGCCCTAGAGGCAGAGACTTCAGCTGCTTGCACTCCCCCAGAAGTCCCCCGACTCTTAGCATATGTCATTTTAGAGAGTAATTTTGTTGCATAAGTCCTTCTTTATTAGAATGACCTTGATATCACCCAAGACATAATGGGTTCTTTAGGTCTTCATATAGTCTGAGATCCTTCATCCCAACAGCACGCATGTCTAAGAGGTTGAATCTAGCCCTGGAATCAGGGAGTGTTCTAGTCCAAAAATCCCAGTGGTCACCCCTAGGTATCTGCATAGAGTTCTCTCAGAAACTCCAGCCTGTGCGTGTTTTAGTTGCAGACACATCCATACATGGCATTTGACTCAGGGCTGGGGTTTTCCATTGTCTTCTCAGAATTAATTAATATTTACTGCAAAGGTGGGTTCCGGCAATTCAAAGAGCTCCCATTTAGTATGGGCGATTAGATGGGGCAAAGGATGGGCTTGCCCAGCGTTCAGCTGTAAGCTACTGATATCACGTTCTCCATTTATGAATCCTGCACACTTCATTTACACATTGAGGTCCAAGTGATGACAGTGGTGAATATACCTCGTCTCATGTTCCTCCTTGGAGTTCTACTGTGACTTTGGTGCTTTTGAACACAACATTGACATAAGCCCAAGCCTCCCTTTTGGCCTCTTAATATTATCTTCTTCAATATGTTATCATATATTGTGCATTGTCATCCAGGAATGCACAAAAGCTCACTCACCATTCCCAGGCCATTTTAACATTTTACCTAACTTAATCTTGATACAATTTCAAGCTTGCAGAAAAGTTTCAAGCATCGTACAAGTATCCCAGTAGATCCTTCACTGAGATTCATCAACTGTTAACATTGCTGCATGAACTTTATTCTCTCTCTTTTCTCTTTACAGAAAGTTGCACATGCTTAATGTATGCATCTTGATGAGTCTGGACATAAGCATATATTGGTGCTCAGGGCAGGTCACTCCAAATTGCCCCACAATAGCATACCAATTATTTTGAATTAAAGGGACTTGAGAAGGAAAAAGGGCATTCCAACCCTCTGGTCTCTGTTTCCCCTGAAAGTGGGAAATAAATCTCCCACGTGAAAGGTGTTCTCCCTTCATCCTTATGACCAAAGCTAGGGAACTCAGGGCCGAGAAGCTCACATAAACAAACCTTGTTAATTTACTACCTCACACCTAAACTCTGTTGAAATTCCTCACTAATTCCATACCTCACAGCTAAGTTTCTTTGTCTTGTCATTCCTCACAAATTGTTGTTTCTTTGTGTAAATGTAAAACATATATATACCGCCCACTTTATTCACTCTCTGAGCATCATTTCTCTATGATTTCCAGTACAGACATATTAAACTGGGTTTTTCTCTTGTTAATCTGGTCTTGTGTCAACTTTATTATTAGTCCAGTCATAACAACACAAGAAGGGTAGAAAGGAGATTATTCCTCCCCCCCCCCTCAACACACATACCTGTGGTACCATCATTTCAACCAAGGTACTGAACATATCCATCACCTCCAACAATGTCCTTGTGTTCTTTTGTCAGTTTTTTTTGTTTTCTGTGGTTTTTTTTTTTTTTTGGTAAGAACATTTAACATGAGATTTATCCTTAAACTCATGGAAGCAGAGAGGTGGGGGCAGGAGAAGGGAGGGGGAACATGGAGCAGGGAGAGAGTGGTCAATGTGCTTTTATGTAGGGTGGTCAGGGCACGCCCCTTTGTAGCCTATTTTCATAGAATACCATTAATTTCTCCCAGGTCTCTCCATTAATTTGCAGGGGTGTGCTAATTATTCTCTTATAATTCTTGCCATCTCCCCTCTCTTCGATCCTTTTAAAGATTCTCTGTGATTTCTCCTTTTTGTCTTAATTCGGCTTCATGGCAGTTTACCTATTATATTGATTGCTTAAAGAACCACCTCTTCATTTTCTTACTAGTTCTGTGTATTTTTTCACCTTTAATTTCATCATCCTTTTCCATTGTTTGGCTTTTATTTGGCTTATTTTGGTGTATGACTGTGTTTTCTCATTGTAGGTATAAATAAATACACAAATAAATGTGTGGGTATGTGTGTATATATCCGATATATTTATGATATACATATCCAAATTGTATTTAGTTACCAACCGAGTTTTTTATTTTTTGCCTGCATATCCTCATTTTTCCAGCTTAAATGCTGCTTTCTCTCCTACTGCCCTCCCCTCCTTTTTTTTTTTTTTTTTTTTTTTGACTGGAAAGAACACTGGCAGTTCTCTGCATGTTATCCCTTCAGAACTAATGATAATCAGAACTCTGCGACATTTGGGGCTGTTTATAAGAGTTATAAGGTAGTCAGCTTTCCCATTGGGTTCATATTTAAATTTAATCATTCCTCCATCAACTTAGCTTCTCTTGATGCGTTAATTGAGCACCTCTTCTTTGCCAGGTACTATTATATCTAGTGGAGAAAGAGCAGGGAAAGATCAGACCAGGTCCCTTCCCTCATGGCCCTTCCAGTCTACTGGTGAAGGACTAACGATAAACAGACACGTAAACCATATGGCGACCAAGAATAAACCCATCACATGACCTGTAACACCAGGAGGCAGAAAAACTGTGTGACTTTTCCGAAAGGCATTAAAGAAGACCTACTGGAAAGAGTCCCAAGGACCATGAAGAGGTGGGTACCCACTAAAAGATGCAGTCCCGGTGTGACAAATGTAGGTCCGGGAAATATTTACTTAGAACCTGTGACACCCGAGGACTGGGCTGGACCTGGGACAGGACACTGAGTCCATAAGTGACGTCCGGGACAGTCTCTTCAATCCAGTGCTCCAGAGTTTTCTCCTCTGATCCTCTGTTCTCCCACACTCTCTCTCCTGGGTTACCCTCCACCAGACAAACCAGAATCTTTTTTTTTTTTTCCTGCTTTATCTCCCCAAATCCCCCCTGGTACATAGTTGTGTATCTTAGTCGCAGGTCCTTCTAGTTGTAGCATGTAAGAATCTTAAACAAATCACACACAATAGGCACGGCCACTACCCAGAATGCACCCAGGGCCCACTTCTATGGTAAAATCTAAGCAGAAACCTGGACACCCACAGGCATCTTCCCGGGAAGCACTTATGAGCACAAAGATTTTCCAGGAAAATCTCAGCGAGGACTCTGCAACTGGGAAGGACTAAATCAATGTCTGGATTCGATACACCCCAAATTAACAGGACAATAGAAATGGTTATACTCTGGAACTCAGTGCAATGATTCTAAAGCTCATTTAAGAGAATAACCAGCAATGTTTGAGTGCTTAGCAGTGACAAATAGAATTGGCAAGAAATAGGACATAATGGAGTATATGAGGAAGCCACTTGATGTAAACCTCATTCGGCCTGATTTTGTTTTTCCAAAAGGGCCTGACATGGTCATTGAGCATACACTGTATATCTGCTCTAAGCATTTGCTATGTCCCAAAGACAAGAACAAATGCCCTTAAGACAAAGGGGCAACTTCCCCCACCTTGGTACTTCCTTAAGAATCAGCATCTCTCCCTAGGCCAGGGGTTGATTGCTGTGCTCACCTGTGACCAGCCGGGTCAAGACAACAGACCTGCCACCCTGCTGTGTCCACTGAGACAGCAGACCTGCTACCTGCTGTGTCCATCAATCACTGTGCTGACAGAGCAGTCTCGTGACTATTGTAGTGACTATCTTAAAAGGGACATGTCAATCATACGTGAAACATCCTCTTTGAGGGTATCTAACCACTCTGTACTCCCCACCTCTTCGGTGCCCCTCCTTCCTTGGGGAAGGGAGGCCCCGGGCTATATGGTCCTCACATTTGGCTCAGAATAAACTTATCCGAATTTTCATTTATAGGTTAGTTATAGGTTATGTGCGTTAACAGCAGATTTAGGCTTTTCTAGTCTTTGGGGATATTTTCAAGTTACAGCCACCAAAACTTTGTGTTACTGGTGCACCACGGACAGTGCCGAGTTGAGTTTAGAATTAGAGCTGAGGGTGCACACAGATTTCTACAGGATCATGGTGGAATTTCAAAGCACTGGGTTAGGTTAGGATTGTTCAAGCAAAAGCGTCAGATAACCATCTTTCTCTTAATTAAAATAGGTATTCTGTGTGTATCAAGGATTTAAATGCAAAACAATGCAACTATAAAAATATTAAAAGAAAGAATTGGTGATTTAAAAAATCGTTTTTAGGTGGCAAGGAAGAATGACAGAAACCTGGAAGCAATTAACAAGAAGACGGATACGACAAATATCACTTCTAAGAAATGACCCGAATACTTAAAAGCTTACCAATTACTGCGAATCCACTCGTAGGGATCTGTGCCAAGGAGACGATTACAATATATTACAATAAGCCTGGGTTTGAATCCAAGGGCAGTCACGGCAGCTGCAATTTCCTTATCTAGGCAACAGCAGGGACTTGGTTAAAGTATTAAGGGGTGAGGCCGTAAGTTTCTGAAGTCTCAAGTGCACGTCGTTTTGTAAGGTCACCTGGCAGGTTGATCCGGGGATGGTTGATGGACGAGATAAGGTGGGGCTGGGGAGGAGGCAGAGCCGCCCCCACTCGCATCCCATTAAGACTCTGGAGCATCTCCGAATCCACCAGGTGCCACTCAAGGTCCGCCTCACTTAGGCCAGGATGGAGGCGGCGCCGGAAAAGGCCGGGCTGGCGGAATTGAAATTGAAATTGAGGTGGGCGCGGCCCGGCCCCTGCCCCGCTGAGCTCAGGACGCGTTCCGCCAGGCGGCCAGGCTGGTCCGATCTCCGCCCCAAACCCTACTTAGTGACCGCTGCAGGGCACAGGACTGTATCCCGGGAAAGGCTAACCGTCCGGGAGAGGAGCTTTGCGCCTCTGACCCGCAGAGGTCGGCGCTCACACGCTCCGGGGCTGGGAGGAGAGGGACCCGAGGCCACGGGTGCAGCGCGCTCAGATCGGCCTGATTCCCGCGGAGGAAGGAAGGTAGGCGAGCTGCGCGAGCGGAGTCCGGGGGACCGAGACCGGAGAGGTGGGCAGAGGGGCGGTTCAGGTTGCAGTAGCTCAGATGTGTGCGGGGGAACCCAGGGGACACTTGGGCCCCTCACTGTGCTATAGGGGTGCCTGGTAGATGAGAAGAACCCAGAACACACCTGACTCATACAAGCCAACCCTGTAACCCATAGTGTCTTGTGAGTCTGCGGGGGCAAAAGAACCATAATCAACAATTTTTTTTAAATTTCTATGACTATTTTGCCAGGTCCCGTCTTTTACTGCGGGACACTGACCACTTGGAAGCAGTCTTTGGTGTGAATGGAAAATGCGCGTCGTTAATAACCTGATGCTTTCTTTGAAGTCATAGTTTAACAAAAGTGACGAGGCAACGACACAGAGATGTCTAATATCACCGTGTTCTTTAACGGCCTCTCGCCTTCCGGGTCATCGTTTTCAGGACAGCGATGTCCGGCAGGGCCAGGACTCGAGCCCGCGGCAGAGCGCGCGGTCGGGCGTCCCCGCAACCTGCGGCCCCCGGAGCGTCCGCGGCACCTGGAGCGGCGGCACCTGGAGCTTCAGCGGCGCCTGGAGGCGCTACGACGGTGAGCGCCGCGCTGTGACGTACGTTGTCCTCCTTTATGCAGAACACGCTGCCTCTGCTGACCAGAGACGCTGTTCGTGGAGCCAGTGTGGCTCAGGGAGAGAGTTCTCTCCTGCTGAGAGGGAACTAGTACATTTCATAAGCAAAGTCAGATTTTCGGGATGGTGTGGCTGGCTCCACCTACCCGGAGAGCCCCTCTCTGCCTCCCTCTCGCGTTGTTGTCACCTTAGCGCAGACTCCCTTTGAACCCTGGGTGGATGGAAAGGCTTCCACATTCCCTGGCCTCTCAATTTCTTGGGAGAGACTTCAAAAATTAAAGGACTTGAACAGCCTGAGTTGGATAGAGTTTTCAATCTTGTTTAAAACTTGTTATCCCTGCTGTCTGTCTGCATTTCTGTCTTCTCTTATCCCGTGTCCATGGCGCGGTCGTGCGCTGGAACCCACAGCCGTGCTGAGGGTCTTGCTTTGACGCCCTCCGGTGGGTCGCGGTGCTGGCCTGGCGGTCACTCGACACCATCTGGGTCCATTTCTTCTCCTCTGCGGTTGTTGCTTCTGTCTTCTTTTCTTCCCTCAAGCCTCAACTGCTCCTCCTCCATCCTAATTCTTAGCCTTTCGCAGCAACTCCTGTGTCCCTGAGACATAGAACATCAGAGCAGAAGTTCAATGTCTTCCCCACCGCATCTCTGCACCCGGGCCTCCCCCTCACCTGAGACCCCAGGGTTCTAGCTCCGCTCCCACCTAAAGAAACCATCTCCACTTACACCCTGTGCCCCTTAGCCGGTTCTGGGGCGCCTCTCCTGTAACCCTCCCCTCTATCTCCTGAGTCATCAAGCTTTATTCTCCTAGATTGTCCCTGTCTGCATACAACCAACCGGCTGCGTTTCCTCCCATCCAGCAAGAAACCTCGCTGGATCCCATTGCCCTCACAGCTCCTTGCTTGGTCTTTGCTTCCCACGGCAGAAATCTCTCTACTCTGAACTCCACTTCTTCCTTCTTCTCTCGCCACTCCTCTCTCCCGGTCGCTCCACTGAAACAGCTCTTGTCGGGTTTCCCCAGGATCCTCCACTTTGTCAGACCCACAGGTCAGTTCTCAGTCCTCTGTGTATTTGCTCTATCACTTGTTGGTGGAATAGTTAAGCCCTCTTTTCTGCTTGATCAACTCCCTCCATGTGGGTTCAGGTCACCACACACCCCTGGTTTCCCTCCTACCTCCCTGGCTGCTGCTGTTAGCATTCCTTTGCTGGGTTCTCATCCTGCCCTGTTCACATGCCCGGAACCTAGTCCTTGGGCCTCTTTTCCTTGCTACATGGATTCTCTCCCTTGTCATCTTATCATTGTCATGGCTTTCAGTGTTATCTGCTGTGAGGACAGGGCCTCCTACTTATATCTCCGGCCAGTGCCCTCTCCTGCAATACCTCACACCCCGCAGATGTCCACACCCCGCAGATGTCCACACGTCATGCTCCTGATCTGCCCTGTTCATTTCCTCTGAAGAAGGTTCATTCTTCCAGTTGCTGAGGCCAAACTCTGGCTCCATCCTAGACTCCTCTTTTGAGCTCAAACCCTTCACTGGAACAAGCAGGAAATACTGTTGTCTCTGCTTTTCAAAAAAGTATCCAGTATCTGAGAATTTCTCACCCCTGTTACTACCCTCTGGTCCAACCCACCAGCATCACTTGCTGGACACTGCAGGTGGCCTCTAACTGGCCTTCTTGCTTTTGCCCTGGTCTCTTCCTCAGTCTGTTTCCATCACAGAACAGATAAGTCAGTCCTTGTAGCTCTCTGCCCAACACGCTGATAGGGCTCCCATTTTCCCAGAGTCAGAGACCAATGCCTTAAGATGGCCTCTCTCCTGCTGCCTCTCTGACTTCTCCCTCCTGCTAGCTTTGCTCCAGCCACACTGGCCACCTAGTTCTTCCTTGGCCATTTCTCCCTTAGGAACTTTGCTCTCTCTTTCCTCCACCTGTGGCTTGTGTAACCTTGTTAACACACTCACCTCCTTCAAGTCTTTGATTCAGTGTCAGCTTCACCCCGAGGTCCTGCTTTGTCGCCGCTAATACAACTAGCCCCCTTCACAGCCCATCTTCCCAGTAACTCCCAATTTTACTTGGCATTGCTCTTTTTTCTTCATTTCTCTAGCCATGCCTATACTTACGCTATAGACATTTTTATTTTGTGTCACTGGAATGTGAGCTTTTCAAAAGAGAGTCCTTTGCTTTATGTCCTGGCACCTGGCAGGCAGACAATAATGTTTGGATGATGAACGAACGACTCTTATTTCTAAAGAGTAGATAACACTATTTATTATTTCTATCTCCAAAACCATGCAGACCCGGCAACCTGGGCAAATTCTGCCTAGACCCCAGCCACTGCCAGCAGAAAGCCAAGTGGTTGAGCCTAGGCAACCAAGAGGAGCGGAAGGAACGTCTCAGCCTTCAGGTAAAAAGAGGGAAGAAGGATGTGGTGGAAGAGGCAGGATGCTTAACACAGGAGGGTGCACCACAGTGATAAAATTCTAGACAGATAGCCTCGTATTCCCCCGAGGTTTGGCAGGATGGAAAGAATGTACAGCTTGCTGCTATTTCCTTTCCTGCAATAAATTATCTGACCATCAGTGTTTTATTCCCCCTATATGTTAAGGCTTATGGAAAAGAAATGGTGATTATTATTCACTAGCCAATTCAATGTAATTGCTTTTCAAATTTAGACCATGCATTTGTATGTGGGGAGTCTAAGTTAACTAGGAATGCCAGGAACATTATTTTCTTGGGTTTGTAAATCTCTGCACTGAAAGGTCGAGCAGCTCTCAAACATCTCAGCGCTCGCCTATGTTGCGTTATCCTCACAGGTGAAAGGTTATCTTGATACAGGTGAGCACACAGGCTCAGGTGTTGTCGTTTGCCAAGGAGTCAGCCAATGCAATCAAACCTTAGGTCTGATTCTCCAACCAACTTCTTTTTTTTAATTTTTAAAATTGTATTTATTGTGGTAAGAACAGTTAACATAAGATTTACCCTCTCAACATATTTTTAAGTGTACACTACAGTCTTGTTAACTATGGGCACAGTGTTGTATAGCAGCTTTCTAGAACTTACCTTGCATAACTGAAATTTTAGACCTGTTGATTAGCAACCACTCCCCCACTCCCTGCAAACCACTACTCTAGTCTCTGCCTCTATGGGTTTGGCTATTTTCCATCTCTCATAGAAGTGGAATGATGCAGTGTTTGTCCTTCTGTGACTGGCTTATTTCACTTAGCATAATGTGCTCAAGGCTCATCCCTATTGTTGTGTATTGTGGGATTTCTTTCTTTTTTAGGGCTGAATAATATTCCATTGTATGTATAGACCATGTTAATTTTATCTGTTCATCTGTTGATGGACATTTAGGTTGTTTCCATGGCTTGGCTGTTTTTGACCAGTGCTACAATGAACATGGGAGTGCTAATGTCTATTCAAGATCATGATTTCAAGTCTTTTGGATAAATACCCGGAGTGGGATGGCGTAGATCATATGGTAGTTCTATTTTTAATTTTTTGAGGAATCTCCTTACTGTTTTCCATAGCACCTGCACCATTTTGCATTCCCATCAGAGTAAACCAGGGTTCAAACTTCTTCACATCTTGACCAACACTAGTTGTCTTTTTTTTTGTTTGATGGCATGTTTTTTGATAATAGCCATCCCTATAGATGGGAAGAGATATCTCATTGTGCTTTTGATTTGCATTTTTCTGAGGATTAGTGACCTTGAGCATCTTCTCATATACCTGTTGGCCATTTGTATGTGTTTGGAGAAATGTCTGTTCAGGTCCTTTCATCATTTATTAAAATTGGGTTATTAGTCTTTTTGCTATTGAGTTGTAGGAGTTCCTTATATATTTTGGAAATTAACTCCTTATCAGATACATGGTTTGCAAACGTTTTCTCCTGTTCCATAGGTTGCCTTTTCACCCTGTTGATTGTTTTCCCTGCTGTGCAGAAGCTTTTTAGTTTGATATAATCTCATTTGTTTTGTTTCCTGTGGTTTCAGTATCATATCCATGAAGTGATGGCCAAGACCACTGTCATGAAGCTTTTTCTCAATGTTTACTTCTAGGAGTTTTATAATTTGGGGTCTTACATTTAAGTGTTTAATCCATTTTGAACTTATTTTTGTGTGTGGTGTAAGATAAGAATCCAATTTCATCTTTTGCACGTTGATATTCAATTTTCCCATCACCTTTTGTTGAAGAGACACCCTTACTCCATTGTGTATTCTTGGCACCTTGTTGAAGATCGGTTGACTATATGCATTTATTTCTGGCCTCTCTATTCTGTGCCATTGGTGTGTCTTTAGGCCAGTAGCATACTGTTTTAATTACTATAGCTTTGTAATATATTTTGAAATCAGAAATATGAGGCTTCTAGCTTTATTCTTTCTTGTAATTGTTTTGGCTATTCTGGATCCTTTGTGGTTCCATACAAATTTTAGAGCTGTTTTTTTATGTTTCTGTAAAAAAAAAAAAAAAAAAAAAAAGCCACTGGGATTTTGATAGGATTGTGTTGAATCTGTAGATGGCTTTGGGTAGTATGAACATTTTAACAATGTTAATTCTTCCAATCCACGACCACAGGGTGTCTTTTCATTTGTGTCTTCTTTTAATTTCTTTCATCAGTGTTTTATAGTTTTCAGTGTACAAGTTATTCACTCCCTTTTTTCTTTCTTTTTCTTTTTTTTTTTTTTTTTGCTGAGGAAGAATCGCCCTGAACTAACATCTCTTGCCAATCTTCCTCTTTTTTTGCTTGAGGAAGATTAGCCCTGAGCTAACATTTGCGCCAATCTTGCTCTATTTTGTATGTGGGTCACCGTTACAGCAGGGCTGATGAGTGGACGAGGTCCACGCCCAGGATCTGAACCTGCGAACCCGGGCTGCCTAAGCGAAGTGCACTGAACTTAACCACTATGCCATGGGGCCAGCCCCAAGTCGTTCACTTCTTTAGTGAAGTTTATTCCTAGGTATTTTATACTTTTCGATGCTGTGGTAAATGGCATTGTTTTCTTAATTTCAGATAGTTCATTGTTAGTATATAGAAATGTAATTGATTTTTATATTCTTCTGCTTTACTGAATTCATTTATCACTTTTAACAGTGTTTTGTGGAGTCTTTAGGGTTTTCTATTTATAAGATGATCTTGTTTGCAAACAGGGACAATTTCAGTTCTCCCTTTCCAGTTTGGATGCCTTTTATTTCTTTTTCTTGCCTAATTCCTCTGGCTAGAACTTCTACTTCTATGATGAATAGAAATTGTGAGAATGGGCATCCTTGCGTTGTTCCTGACCTTAGAGGAAAAGTGTTCAATTTTTCACTCTTGAGTATGAATTTAGCTGTGGGCTTCTCCTATATGGTCTTTATTACATTTAGGTAATTTTCCTTTATTAAGAGTTTTTATCATGAAAGGGTGTTGAATTTTATAAAGTGCTTTTTCTGCCTCTGTTGAGATGGTTGTGATTTTTACCTTTCATTCTGTTAATGTGGGTGTATCATGTTAATTGGTTTTCATATTTTGAACATCCTTGCACCCCAAGGGCAAATCCTACTTGGTGGTGGTCTATGATCCTTTTCATGTGCTGCTGAATTCGGTTTGCTAGGATTCTGTTGAGGATTCTTGCATCCGTATTCATCAGGGACATCAGTCCGTAGTTTTCTTTTCTTGTAGTGTCTTTGTCTGGCTTTGGAATCGGGATAATACTGGTCTCATAAAATGAGTTTGGAAGTGTTCCGTCTTCTTCAGTTCCTGGGACTTCAAGGACTGGCCTTCATTCTTTAAATGTTTAGTAGAATTCACCAGCGAAGCCATCTGGTCCTGGATTTTTCTTTGTTAGGAGGTTTTGATGGCTGACTCAATATTCTTACTAGTTATAGTTCTATTCAGATTTTCTGTTTCTTCATAATTCATTCTTGGTAGGCTGTATGTTTCTAAGGATCTCTCCATTTCTTCTAGATTCTCTGGTCTGTTAACATTTCATTGTCCATAGTCTTCTTATGATCCCATTCTCTCTGTACTGAGCCAGAGAGGAGCTGTGGTGAGTACCTGCCTGCTAGTTCAAAACACTGCCTTTGTTTTCTGTAGCCCTCAGGGGTCCAGCATATGCTGGTCCACTGTCACTCTGAGGCAGGCAAGATAGAAGCCAGTCCTTCAGGCAGCACCCAGAAGAGATGGGACATTGGATGTGTGGTCCCACTCTTTCCCTCAGCGTGGAAGAGCTGTTTGCTGGGGGTTTCCTCCTGTTCATCTGCTGCTGTGCTGGGCTTGGGGATTAGAGTGAGAAGATGTCTCCAGTTTTCCTACTGGTGTCCGCGTGGGTGGTTTCACACTTGCTGGGGGTGCAGGAGCATCTCAACTAAATTCTGGATTTCACACAAAGGGAGTGATCCGTGTATTGCTATTGGATCCATGTGCTCACTGGGAGGAGGGGTGCCCAGGGCTTCCTGTCCCGCCATCTTGCTGATGTCACTCTCCTCTAGCTTGATTCTTACAGCGAGATAAATTGTGATGGGTCAGAGCTTGAAACACCAAAAAAATTTAAAAGGTAAATAAATATTTTTATAACAAACAGATATAAAATCCAGGCTCCATAAAATGAAGTTATAAATTTGAATATGGAAAATTAAAATACCCATTTTTATTATCTGTATTGCATCTCTGAGGAGCTGTGATTAAATATTATATGTGAAATACATTGTATGTAGCAAGTGCTAATGAATGATGGCTGCTGTTTTCTTTCACTGAAATTTGAATTTGATTTTGATTCCTGGGTGTGTCAGAATTAGTTGAGTTTGATAAAGTTGTTTAAAAATTTTATGAGTCAATGAAATAGTTTTTCTATTATAGAAATTCATCCTCTAAATATTTTGTAAGATCATCATAAACTAGGAATAATAGCTTTCAGAAGTAGCATGTTGAAGAAAGCCATTTTTTATAACCCAAGGCATTGGCCCTTCAGGGGCACAAGATTTATGGATAATGTGCGCATATTTCTTTCACAATGCACCACCTCTCCGCTGAACGACAGCTTGGCATTGTCATTCAAATACTGACCTTGTAAAATATATATTTAAATCCGTATGAATCTCGGGATTTAGCAAAAATAGCATGAGACACTTTCCCAGTTGCTATTAATAAAATAGATCAGTCGTTCTGTATCAAAAGCCAGTTTCATGGATTTTTGATGGATTGTTCATTCAGCCGGTACTTTCTGATGCCCACTAGAGGGCAGTGTGGTGCCAGCTGATAAACCCGTAAAGATGGAGAGAGAGAGCAAGGTTTCTGCTTCGAAGGATCTTGTACTCTGAGCAAGCGCCTGATGAAACAGCAGCGATGACTGAAGGGCTGGGGCAACCACTGCTGTGGACTGCAGACTTGTTGGGAAAGGCCTCTAGTCCCCCCTTGCTGGTGACGCATTACTGAAATAATGTTGTTTGGATCCGTTGACATCATCCTATCTACCTCAAACCACCTTGACGGTTTTGCTTAATAGCTGGGGTTTCCTACTGTCCTTCGTATTTACATTTCCCCTTTTCTTGTATAAACTCATTGCTTTTATGTTTATCCGTAGCGGAACTCCAGCTCTCGGCTGGCTTGCAGGCGGCCTCGCTGAGGGGGAACAGGGGTTTCAGCGGGGTTTTTCGAGACCTGGTGGTGAACACCCGGCAGAACCTGGAACATGTCAGAAAGTCGAAAACAGGTACGCCGGCCATTAAGCCCATTGGATGGAGTTTTTCATTTTAAACTTTTGATGAGATGTGTGTTGGTGCTTAGAGTTCTGTAAAGCTTCGTGCCATCATGTAAGCGGAGGTCCTCTCTCACGTTTTTGTAGTAACATTCACTTTTACAGAAATGAAGACATTTTAGAGTCCTTATTATTTATTTAGAACTTATTTACATATTTAGAAGACATTTTAGACATACGTTCTTTGTTTTTCTTTTTCTTCTTATACACATTAAGATAGAATCACCCAGTTCTTTGTCGTACTGAGATTTTTTTTTTAAACACTATTACGTACAGTGGCTTTTTCCTCCTTTTGGAAGGCTTGTGCTGCAAAAGGTTTGTCTTATTTTGATCTTTTTATTCCTATATTAATATATTTATAACTATATTAATCATATATTTTAACTTTCTAAATGCATACTTGTATAAGAATTCACCTAAATGACGATGTTAGGTGTTCTGGACAACAGGTGTAGATAAATGTTTATGTCATGTTGTTAGCCTGCTTGTTCGACCTCGCTTTGGCTCTCAATGTTTTGCTGTCCAAATTGTCTTTGGTGCAATTGACCACTTTGTTGTCTCAATATTGACATGTGGCTCAATTTTTCAGGCTCGAAAGGTACAGCTGTAAGGCTATTTGCGAACCATTTCCGAGTGACATCTCGTCCCCAATGGGTCACGTATCAGTACAACGTTGACTACAAGCCAGACATAGAGGATGGAAGTCTCCGTGCGGACTTACTGAAACAACATGAATCGTTACTTGGAAAGTGTCGTATATTTGATGGAAACTCTTTATTATTACCACGTGTGCTACGTAAACGAGTTAAGTAGTGTTACTGACATTTTCCTAACATTGTTCTCTTTCTCTTGCCTTTTGACTTTATTCTAGGAGAACTCCTGTTGTTTCTGTACAGCTGTTTGTAGAGATATCATGGAGATCTCTTGCCCATTGGACTTGTAACAAAACCCATGTTCATGTTTGATTATCATTGGTATTCTTTAATGATTTTTATTTCAGTGTTTAAACAGAATTTAATATAAGGGTGAAATATATATATTTTTACCTTTTTAATGGCACAGTATGTCTCGAAAATGCTGATCTTGAAGTTTTGAATAGTTTTTTATTTTATTTCTTATTCCCTCCAAAACGTCATCAAAAAAAGAAAAACATTGGGAGAAGGACTTAATTTTCTTCTATAAATTTCTGTATTCATTAACCAAATCATTTAGAGGAGCTTAAGTAAAAAATAGTTTTGATTTAAATATTTAATTCTGACTCCTCACTTTTGTCGTGTAAATCACATTTTCTACCTGCACGTGTCTTGGTGGGAAAGATGGCTTGCCACGGCAGTGGGTTGGATGGCCAAGTGACATTGACTTGCGATGCGATGGAACTTAGTGTCCTTGGAAGCACCTCTAAGGCTTTTCTGTTCTTCTTTATCTCAGAAAACGGAAGTGGTCAGCAAGTACAAAGAACAGCCTGTGAAGATTACCATCGAGTTCTCCAGAGAGCTCATGCCCACCTCGCCAGATTGCCTGCGCTATTACAACATTCTCTTTAGAAAGTGTGTTAGATTGCGTTTCCTCGCAATTTGGTTGGTTTTACTGAGTTTCAGTGGTGTTGAACATGGCCATTTGCTTCTAGCATCTTATGTTCTTGAGATGAAAGGACACTTGAGCCTCACTTGGACCTGGGAGAATTCGGTGGCCTTCCTCAATATTATTCCTCCTGCCCGCCCCCACGTCTGGGTCCTATCTAGAAGGAGTAACAGCCATCAGCTATGCACATCCATGCGTATTTCCCTCTGGAGCAAATACACTCATTTTCTATTCTGCACTCACTGTGATGAACAAATATTCAAAATTAAAATTCGAGACACAGTCTGGAAAAGATGTTTTGCTTCATTTCTGGGAATGAAGGTCATTCTGATGGCCTTTCCGTGATATTTTGTTTTATGAAAAACTGAGGTTAAATGCACTTTAATATCCACCTCATAGTGTAACTTACCTGTTATATCAGGCACTTCATGTTAATCATTAGTGTAAACAAAGCCAGTGACAGATATCTTTCCCTCATGTATCTTGAGGTCTGTTACCAAATGCTTGGTATTCACTGTGCGTTCAACGCAACCTATTCTTTCCATTTCTAGAATTTTGAAGTCGATGGAATTGAAACAGATTGGTCGCAACTATTACAATAAATGTGGAGCCACTCAGTTCTTGGATCATAGGTTTGTATAAAGTGGAAAGTTCCACATTCTGTGCACAGAAACAGAAGCTTTTGAGAAAGTTACTCTCATTTGAAGTCACATGGTTTACAAGTGATGGTCTTTTAAATTGTACCCTCTGGCTATGAACAATTAAGTTTAATGTAAACTTCAAAGGAAGTGAAAAGATTCGCTCTAAAACTCCTAGCATCTTAAGCACAACCCTTAAGATATTCAGTTGTTGTGTAAACCATCTAAGAAACCTAAATATTCATCCCAAATTTGGGTAATTTCTCTCTGAAAATATTTTCAATCATAGCAATTGTATCTATATGTATATATGTGTATATATGGGTGTGTGTGTTATATATATATATATATATATATATATATATATAATATTCTCACGTACATGAGTATACATGACACTTTAAGCCTATGAGCAGTAATAAAAATGGTTTAACAAAGATGATGTTTTGCTTATAACCAGCACATCTGGTAAATCTCTATTGGAAGTTCCTTAGAAACACCAGTTATTACTAAAACTGAGAAATTGGAACCGACTCCTAAGCATCCATTTCAGACCCTGAGTTTGGGCCCATAACACTTGGCTCCATGGTCAGAGCTTGGCCTTGACACTCACGTCTACTGTGTTCTGTTTGCAGTCTGGAAGTCTGGCCTGGTTACTTCACATCTATTCTTGAATATGAAAACAGTATTACCCTCTGTGCCGACGTGAGCCACAAACTGCTCCGAATGGAAACTGCTTATGATGTAATAATGAGGATTGTTGACACTCCCAGAGAGGGAGATGTCAAACAGCGAGTTTCTAAAGCATTAGTTGGCTTAATCGTTCTCACCAAGTAAGTCTGCATTTTAAAAGCCCATCCAATCACTTTTTTTTTTTTGAGGTGAGGAAGATTGTCACTGAACTAACATCTGTGCCAATCTTCTGTCTTGCATGTGGGACGCCGCCACAGCCTGGCTTGATGTTGCTGAGTGGTGTGTAGGTCTGCTACCTGGGCTGCCAAAGCAGACACACAAACCTAACCACTACACACTGGACCAACCCTAAAACCCATCTAATCCCTTTGAAAACCTTATTTTTCCATAAGAGATGTTCCTATTATTTTCAAATTACTAAATATTGAAGTTCAGAAGTAGAAATAGCATGAAAATGGCAAGAATCACTGTATACTTTTCTCATCTGCTTATACAGTATGGGAGAGGACTATGTCAATTGTCAGCTTTGCCGTTTTTGCAATTCCTAATGTTAATGCATTCATTTGAAACCTCACTTGCGTGTAGCTGGGTATGCTCATTCCAAATGTCTTCTTGCTTTTCTCTCCCTCTGTGTCTAGGGATTTTAAAAATCAGTGCTTAATTAGAACACATTAGCAAATTTCCTTTGAAGGAACTTTTTATTTCGAGTCTCCCTCTACACCAGAAATCTTAAGTTGATAAGAGAATGGATTTAAAGTTACTCAGCCAAAACAATGTTTTTGAAAATTTTTTGAGGTCATATTGGCTTATGACATTGTGTAAATTTTAGATGTACATTATTATATTTCAGTTTCTGTATGGATTGCATCGTGCCCCCCACCGATAGTCTAATTTTTGTCTGTCACCATACACATGTGCCCCTGTACACCTCTCACTCTCCCCCTACCTCCTTCCCCTCTAGTAACCACTAATCTCTTCTCCTTATTCGTGTGTTTATCTTCCACATATGAGTGAAATCATACGGTGTTTGTCTTTCTCTGAGTTATTTTGCCCAGCATAATACCCTCAAGGTCCGTTCATGTTGTTGCAAATGGGATAATTTTGTATTTTTTATGGCTGAATAGTATTCCATCATATGTATGTTGCTTCCACGTCTTGGCTGTCGTGAATAATGCTGCGATGAACATAGGGATGCATAAATCTCTTTGAATTATTCACTTCATGTTCTTTGGATAAATACTCAGCAGTGGGATCATATGGTACTTCTATTAATTTTTTGAGAAATCTCCATACTGCTTTCCACAGTGGCTGTACCAGTTTGCAAAATAATCTGAAGAAAAGAGCAGTTAGAACTCACACTTGCCAATTTCAAAACTTACTGCAAAGCTGAAGTAATGAAGACAGTGTACTGCTGGCATTAGGACGGATATATAGATCGGTGAAATAGAACGGAGGATCCGGAAGTTAATCCTCACATTTATGGTCAGTTGACTTTCAACAATGATGTCAAGACAGTTCAATCAGGGGAAGAATAGTCTTTTCAACTAATTTTGCTGGCACAGCTGGATATCCAGCTGCCCCTTCCTCACACAACACACAAAATTAGCTAAACTGGAACTCAAAATAGACCTAAATGTAAGAGTTAAAAGCCCAAAATTCTTAGAAGAAAACATAGGAGTTTGGGTTAGGTAAAAGCTTATTATATAAGCCACCAAAAGCACAAGTGATGACAAAAGAAAAATGTAAATGGGCCAGCCCAGTGGCTCAGCGGTTAAGTATGCACGGTCCGCTTCTTGGTGGCCCGGGGTTCACTGGTTGGGATCCCGGGTGCGGACATGGCACCACTTGGCAAAAGCCATGCTGTGGTAGGCGTCCCACATAGAAAGTAGAGGAAGATGGGCATGGATGTTAGCTCAGGGCCAGGCTTCCTCAGCAAAAAAGAGGAGGACTGGCAGTAGTTAGCTCAGGGCTAAGGTTCTTCAAAAAAAAAAAATGTAGATAAATTGGACTTCACCAAATTAAAACTTTTGTTCTTTAAGTACATGTCAAAAAAGTGAAAAGACAACTCACAGCATGGGAGAGAATATTTGCAAATCACATATCTGGTAAGTAACTTGTATTTATATATATATATAAAGAACATGTACGACTCAATGAAAAGAAACTCAATTTTTAAAAATAGGCAAAGGATATGAATAGACATTTCTCCAAAGAGAATATACCAATGGCCAATAATCACATGAAAAGATGCTGAACATCATTAGCCATCAAGAAAATACAAATTAAAACCACCATGAAATATCACTCTATACCCACTAGGATGGTTAAAATGAAAGAGCAGATATTAACCAGTATAGGTAAGGATGTGGAAAAATCGGAACCAACCTTCATCGACGGCTGGTGTGAGTGTAAAATTGTATGGCCTTTTTGCAAAATAGTCTGGCATTTCCTCAACATGCTAAATATAAAGTTACCGTATGACCCAGCATTTCCACTCTTAGTTATATGCTCAAGAGAAATGAAAACATATGTCCAGCAGTATTGGTATGTGAATGTCTATAACATTGTTATTCATAATAGCTCAAAAGTGTAAACAACCCGTATGTTCATCAACTGGTAAGTGGATAAGCAAAAATATAGTATATCTATACAATGGAATATTATTTGGCAATAAAAAGGAATTAAGTACCAATACGTTCTACAGCGTGGATGAACCTTGAAGACATTATGCTAAGTGAAAGAAGCCAGTCAGGAAAGATCACATATTGTGTGAGTTAATTTATGTAAAATGTGATGGTAGGCCAATGTATAGGGACAGAAAGTAAACTAGTGGTTGCCCAAGGGCTGGGGGAGTTGGGTGGAAATGGGGAGTGATGCTCATGGTTATGGTGTTTCTTTTTTGTGTGACGAAAATATTCTAAAACTGACTGTGTTGATGTTTGCGCAACTCTGTGACTATTCTAAAAATCGTTAGATTGTACATTTAAGTGGGTGAATTGCATGTTATGGGAATTAATCTTACTAAAGCTGATGTATCCTGCAATTACTTACAGGATTTAAAACCCCTTGATTCTTGCATGGTTCCACGCAATGAATGAGCCAGGAATAATACCATATATTGTGATTATTCCACAGGCACAACAACAGAACCTACAGGGTGGATGCTATTAATTGGGAGGAGACTCCTAAAGCTACATTTAAAAAGTCAGATGGCAACAGAATCACCTTTGTGGACTACTACAGGCAGGTATGAAATTTTATTTCTTTAAATATATTTAAATATTAAAATCTTTTCAGATTATGTGATTAAATATATTTTTAAGTCATATATATATATATTTATATATTTATATTATCCTTTTGGGATATTATAGCTTGACTTCTATTATCCGTGTATTCAAGTAGCTTGGGTACAGAGTAATGTCACAGAACTAGAATGGCTCCAATATGGCCCCTCGTGTCAGTCACAGAAGTGGCTATGGGAGTTTTAAACATGTAGATGCATTGTTAGGTAGAAAATAAAATATGGTAAGACTTAAGATATGAAAACTTTACTTATGTAGAAATTGCAGCCCTATAGAGTTTGGTTCAAAAGGAAGGAAAAAATGGCCAATTACTACCTGAAATGATGTCAATTATATGCCAAATCTCGTAATTCATGGATTCTTCAATCTTTGAGTGTTCACAAGGACGTACGTAGACTTGCCTTAGTAAACTAAGATATACCAGTTGATGAGGGAGCTTTTCTAGCTTTGGAAGATGAGAGAAAGATAATTAAAGGAATCACAGATATTTGTAGCAAATGGAAAGAACTTATAAATGGATGATTTTTTTAAAAAAAGCTTGTATTTTTTATATTGCAACCCAAAATCTAGCTACTTGAAACCATTGAGGATACACAGCCCTCTGACATCCCTTCAAGGGGATGGTTCTATTCTGACATTATCTTCATTTGTGCTTCATACTTAGTGCTTTTCCTTCAATCCAAAAAGTGTTGAGTGAGTTCCTATCATATATCTTGGGTATACATCGGTAAGACAATTGAGTTCTCTGATCTCACAGGAACTTGCATTCTCACGGCAGGCAGGGAGATGGCAAACAAGAAGAAAACTATTCTGATAGTTATAAAGGATGTGCAGATAATTAAAATTGAAGGGGATTATAGAGAGTGTCTGGTGGCTACTTAGACTGGGTAGTCAAGGAAAGCTTCTCTGAGAAGCCGAAATGTGAACGTCAAAAAGGAGCAAGCAGTGTGCAGATCAGGGAAAAGAGAAGAGATAGTGCAAAGACATCATTTTCAAGATGGCCATGATGTATCCAGATCATGCACTAGCTACCAAGGCTAGTGCGTTCTCTAGAAAAGTCAACCGGATTTTATTGTCCAAGGGTATTATGTAGATGAATTTTTCATTTTCAAGATTATTTCATCTGATGTACTGCAAATGGGCTGTATGGGGTTAAAAATGGAGGCAGGGAGAACAATGAGGAGGTTATTAAATTGGTTTAGGTAAGTGATGAGGGTGACCTGGATTAGAGTGGGAGAAATAGTTGAAAATGGACAGGACTTATTGATGGCTTGGATGTAGTGAGTGATGGAAAGAGGAGCCTGCCACACAACCCTTGGGCTTTATCTGAGGAAGTGCGGGAGCAATGGCATCATTTCCTGCCATGGGGGAGTCTGTGGGAGGAGCAGGTTTGGGGATCGTTCGGGGATGAGATTGGCTCTGTTGGAGTTGGAAACGGAAATGTCAGTAACTAAATAAAAGACTTATTTCTGGCTTGAGTAAAGTCTAATGAGAGTCTAGTCGCTCTCAGGGAAGCTGTCTTCCATGGGATGACTCAGTGATCCAGTGTTACCATTTTGTGGCTCGACCATCTCACCAAGTGGACTCCGAGGTGGTTGCGTGAGAGGAAAAGAAGTAGAAGAAACACCCTGGCTCTTAGGGACCTTGGACTGGAAGTGATAGGCTGATGCACCACTTCTACTCGTCTTCCTGTTTGTCAAAACTTCAGTCCTGTAGCCTGATCCTAGCTAAGTGACAGCTGAGGAGGCACCTCTCCTCTTTCGTGTACAGCAAGGTGACGCGATGTGATTTCACAGCATTTTCTCGGCCCAAAGGGGTAAATAAAGCCTGCTGTTTGGGCATGGCCATGAATCTGGAGTTCCACGGGGAGGTAAAGCCTGGAGGTTTAGATTTGGGCAGTCATTAGCCATTCTCTAATCCTTGGCTTTTGATCTGCAGTCACCTAGGCAGAATATGTAGATAAACAAGAGAATAAAGTATTTCAAGAAAGAGGAGGGAAGTGCATCTCTGTAGAATGTTAAGAGGTTAAATAAGACCGTATACCTACGTCCAAACTCACCAAATTGTATCCCGTAGTTGTGTGCAGATTTTGGTGTACCAGTTACACCTCAATGAAGCTGGAGGGAAAAGACATACAGTCAAGTGTGTATTGGGTCTGGTAGCATGGAGCTCATACCAAGAGCAAATTGGTAATAGTGGGAGTCAAAGTCCAAGTGGAAGGTACTGAAGAAAAAAATGTGGCAATATTTGCTACAAAAGAAGAGGAGAGAAAGGGTATGGGAGATGGAGGAGTTTAAAAAATTAGACAATAGTATGTTTCCATCTTGGTGGAAATCATCCAACAGAGAGGGAGAAATCGATAACATCGATTGTAAGAGAAATAAGGGATAATAACAGAAACAAAATCCCTGAAGTTGAGCAGAGGTTAGAATCCAGAGCTCAGTGGAGGGGCTGACTTTTCTCTGAGCAGGACAAACCCTCTGTAGAAATCGGGCCCCAGCGGCAGAGCACATGCCTACAGGGGAAAAGGTAAACGCTGGGCAGAATGTTGTGGATTCCTGTCTGAATCCTCCTATTTCTCAGTGAAGTATGAAGCAAGATCGTTGGCTGTGTCGGTTGGTGGGTGGCGGGAAGGGGGTGTGTAGGAGATTTGAGAAGGTATGAGATGTTGGTTTTTGAATGAGTAAGGAGCATAATGAGGGAATTTGAATAGAGCGCCCCTTTCAGATTGTGGCCAAGACTAACTGTAGAACCAATCAGCAGGGTCAGTTGCTGCTTACACGCACAGGACAGACAGCTGGGTTGTTGCATGGTCAGAGCTTGCCAACGTAGTATGATGAAGGCTAAAAGGAGGGAAGGAATTGATGGCGTTTATGAGGGAGTGATTATGACAGGCTAGGGAATGCAAGTTGGGGAAGTGACGGAGATGAGGATGTGAGGGAGATAAGGACCTCCTTCCTCCTAGATTTAAGTGTGCTCATTCCTCTACCTAGGCTTGCTCATTCTACAAATTTCATCTCAAAGGTCATTGATTAAGAAGAGCCATTCTGGATATCCTAACAACCCCCCTCCCACCCCAAACACACACGCCAACCTGCAACCTCAGGCCTCTGTGGGCACCCTATTCTGTACACATTTGTATTTCATGACGTTTATCCCAATTTGTAATTACATGTTTGGGTGATAATTTCATTAGTCTCTCCCCTCCCCAGTAGACTGAGTTTCATGGGGGCAGGACAGTGCTGGTTTTGCTCTTTGTAATACCTCTTGTATCTTATACCTTGACTGGCACATATAATTGTAATAGTTCATGAATGTCATCACAGGGCGGGGGGTTAGGAATAATTTGAGAGAGGGGGGAATTTGACACATTAAGGCAAACTACCTTTTTGGCATCTGCTGATAGTCTTGGATGTAAATGAAATATAAGGAAAGGTTTTCAGCAGCTTTACTTGAGTAAAACAGATGGGCAGAAATATTTGAAGTGACTGGGGGAGTCTCAGGATGCCCTGGTGGGAACTCAGTCTAGAGAGAGAGAACAATTTAGTTTTAGTGTTGTCATGAGATCTGGAAAAGTCAATGAATTCATAGATAAGTCATTGGAAGGGAAATACAATGGCTTTCAAAAGAAGTTTAATAATAATGCAAATAGGAGCAACAGAACTGATTTTTAGATGTTGCAAAAGATCCTTCTAGGATATTTCATAACAGCTGTAACAAAGGAAGTGCGATTTCCAAAGTTCTCTACAGGAAGAGTAGCACCTCCAAAGGCTTGGAGAAACTGGGTGGTAGGAGCAGTTGATGAGGTCTAAAATGGTGCCACAATTCTACACACATGTGTATACTTGCACTAGCTCCCACCTTAAGAAGGCTGTAGGATCAGGGAGTGGGGGTGAGTCCCAGCTGCCTTTCAGATAACTACAGACCACTTTAAGGAAAAAAAAACTACGTAATCTGCAAGAATTTCATGAGAATTGAAAGTAGTAGCCCAGCCCAAGAAGAAAAAAGCCATGAACACTGGATTTGAAGTCTTCTTGTCTAAGGTGGGAATTCCTTTGAAGTTCCCAAGATGTCTAAAAGACAGTTGATACCGGAGTTCATGTGGCTAAATTATTATTAACAAGGACCTTGCTTACCAATAAGCAACACAGGAGGATCTCTGAAGGGACCACTTTGTGTTGGAGGGTAAAGGCACTTCATTGTGCAAGCATTACAGCCTAGGGTAGGAACTTCTGCATGTAATGTCTTTGAAAATGCCTTTTCCTACTGGAAGCAGGGACTAAGAACTTAGGGGAAATAATGCAGGAGGAGGTTGAGAATAGATCTGAAATGGTGACTCTGAAAAGTGGTCAGGTTTGATTGTCCCCCATTAGTGTGGGAATCCTCTTGAAAGTTCTCAATATGGTTTAGGAATTTTTAAGGCAAGACTGAGGTGAGAAATAGGCACTCTAGGAGTCCCTCACCCATCTCCATATGCAAAGTTAAAGAAGGATAGCTCAGTGACTCCAATTTAACATTTGTGGGAGTCTTTTTCTCCTCGGCCGTGTATAAGAAAAAAGACGTGGTCCCTGAGACATCTAAATTCAGAGAATATTAAGGGTATTTTTAACGTAATTTTAAGCTTGAGGAAGCAATGTCACCACACCTCTGGGCATCCATTTGTGACCCAAAAATGCACATTTGTACCTATTGTTGAGGTGTTACGAAGGTTTTGCTGATAATCATGCCAGTGTTCTTTCTCGCTTCTGTTGAGCAGCAATATGACACACAGGTCACTGACTTAACTCAGCCACTTCTGATCAGCAAGGGAAAATGGAAGAAGAGCCAGCAGGACACACCCAACGAACCTGTACTGCTGGTCCCTGAGCTCTGCAGCCTGACAGGTATAGCAGATTTATGCGGTCTTCCCAGGAGACAATCCCTCTTTAAAGTCATAGATATTCGGGTGTAGAAGTGTGGGCTTTTCATGATACTCCATCTGACCTGGAGCTGTGTCCTCTGTTCATTCTTCCTCTTCCGGATACAGCAGTTAAGTCTCCTCTGAAAAAGTCTATTCTTGCTTACTCGGCTGTATCTTTTGGATCTCTGTTGAAGGTCTAACAGATGCCATGCGTCAAGACTACAGAGTGATGAGAGACCTGGCTCTTCACATGAGGTTGGATCCAGACAAAAGGCAGCACGAACTGCAAAAATTCATGAATACTGTACAAAGGTAAGCGCTGCTTTCCTGGCTCTGTGTGTGTGAACCGAATTTGAGACCCGTGCAGAGAGATCCCTTGGCATCTCAGATTCTTCAGTTAAAAAAGGACGATTGGGAAGAAAATGAGATTTGGGGGGCCAATTCTACTTTTTCTGTCATTGCAATGTTAGAGGAAATCTAGAGGGAGATGAATGAAATGAAATGGAAAGACTAGTGCCCCCACAAATGTGAGAGCAAGACAAGACTATTCAGAGTTTGAGGGAGTTGATCTGTAGCGTCTTAACCAAGGACAAGCAAGAAGGAAACTTATGTGAGAGGGAAATTGCCCTGTGTTTTGCAAATGAATAATTGTTTTTGCTTATTTTCCTTGGTTTGATCATGTGGAAATATTTTAACTTTCAGAGATAAGACTGCGCAAGAGGAGCTTCGACTCTGGGATTTGAAATTCGATACCAACTTTTTGTCCTTCTCAGGAAGACTGCTGAAAGAAGTCAGAATTTGCCAGGGAAGAAGAGTGGTAAGACGGTTTCAAAGTTGACAGGTCATCGTAGGAATAATAACATTGTCAAATAATAACAAAAACAGGAACTAACTTAGTCATGTCAATAATTATGACTACTCTCTCTTAGACTACCTATTCTTTATATGAGAGAACAAGCAAATATTCAAAAGGAATGCATGGAAAGTGCTTGTAATACAGTAAACTCAGTTCTGTATCTTTACCTATTAGTATTGTGGACATTTTCTCAAGGCAAAATGATCTTCTAAATGTATCCTTAAGAGTCAAATAGTTAATATCAAAATAATCCAGAGTAACCCATGATAGAATTCCAGCATTACTAACCTGTCTCTTCATAAAAATATCTAATTCAGTCATGATTAAAGTTTAAAATTGTAATATTTCAGCGGGAGATAGCACAGATTTACAATGGAAAGGATCTTAGGTGGTTTTTTTAAATGAAGTTTTATACCGTGTCTTGGAATTCTTTTCCAGTTTAACTCCCATCCACTGTTTGCAGAATGGTCAAAAGAAACAAGAAAGGGCCCCTTACTTAAGGTGAAGTCCCTGGATGATTGGCTAATGCTTTACACTAAGAGAAATTACGGGGCAGCCGTTTCGTTAATGCAGTGTCTACGGAAAGTCACACCCACCATGGGCATAGCTATGAGAGATGCCAAAATGTGAGTAGAGCAGAAATTCCTTCCAATTTAAACCTCGGTTGTTAGCAATCTGGGAGTGGAATAACTGAAAATGTTAAACTGTAGAAATCAGTCACTTTATCAAAACTCTGAAAGTTTGTAAACAAAATACCCATCTAATCTCCAGTCAACAAATATTAAAACAGGCTTTTGTGATATATGGTTTGTGGCTATTAGGATCCATGTTGAGGAAGACATGAGAACTGTCAACTTGGTATAAATGGATGGCGGGATATTAAGAACTAGTTCCCAGATGTATTTCCAAAAATTGTTCAACTTGTCTTGGTTTTAAAAGCAAGCTTTCAACTGAAATGCTTATCTTGGCATTTTTTCTTGACTTATTTTATATAGTGTTTCATTGGTTGCATAAAATATTATGTGTTTCTCTGTTCATGACCTTTTGAATATAGATAATATACTCATTTTCCAGGCTTGAAGTCAATGACACAGTCAAATCCTATATAAATGTCTTAGAAAAACACGCCTCATCAAAGACACAGATGGTAAGTCTACTTGATACATGCACAGTCTTTAGTGGTTGTTCTAAAGCGGCGTTTGTACGTATCACGGAATTTGGAATGTTGCTATTGGTTTTCTAAACTAGCCAATGAATACAAATTTACCCCTATAATAGAGCTGAATACAGACTTTTGGGTTTGAGGTACTACTTAATATTATCATGTTATACAAATTCTTTCAGGCTTGAGGACTTGGAATTATTATTTCTTTAAGTCTCAAACTGAAAAACACCATACAAATGTAAAGAAATATGGATTGTGGAGATCATCACATTTATCGTTTCTCTCTCCAGTTGTAACTGCAAACTCTCTGCTCTCTTGCAGCACCTCATCTTCCCTTCGCTCAGTATTTTACTTAGGATTTTTCCTTTCATTTCTGCCATCCAGTGTCTTAGACCAAATTGTCATTATGTTGTATCTGAATTGCCAAAGCAACTTCTTTTTTCTTCTTTCTTTGGATTCTTTCTCCTAATTCATCTTGCGTTCTTCCCTTCTTCCTCTGGGATGATCTTTAAAGGGATCTTTGTTTCTTGATCATGAAACCCTGATGTTTCTCCTATTGTCTTTTACATAAAGGCCAGGATTTTCTCGCCTTTTAGTTTCCGCTAAGGAGCCTTTTTGGCTACCCTGAAGGATACTTTGTATGAGCCATACTCAGTGTCAAATGAAACATCTTACTTTTGAAAGCATATTGTACTTACATTTTGAGTCTTACTGTATTGAGTACTGTGTTCCATTCTTCTCCAGTGTCGTGGCCTTAAGTGCTCAGCTTGATCAGGGAAGCATCCATTAGGAATCAGCAAAGAGTCACATCTTAGTATGTTAGCATCAGAGTTGATCGAGCCTTTGTAGTTGTCTGAATCCCAACTCATTCTCGTAACAGGAATTTCTTTGCTCATTTGGCATCTGCCTGAAAAGCTAAAGATCACCTTTTCAATTGGTTGGAATTTCTTGGAAAAAAAAAAAAAAGAAATCCTTCATCTCTTGAATGGGAACTTGTCTCACTTTTACTCATTTATCCTGGATTTGCTTTTTTGAACAATATCTTCTTTTACTCAAGGCAGCCCCTTAAATATTTTGTCAGATGGTGGGGGGCAGCATGCCTACAATCTTCTTATGCACTCCAGACAACTGGGAATGACCAATAAAATAGGGTCTCAAAATAACGTGCGAGATTGTCTTTAAGTAAAAACAGAAATCTCCATAGATTTCCGTAGAGGGAAATTCATGTATGTAAGCAGGGGTGAAATGATGCAGCTCACAGATTTCAAAGGCTGTGTGGCACTGGGCAAGAGGCCAGAACCAGGCTGTGTAAGATAATCCATTGAATCAGATAAGACATCAAGCCACATATTTATATTATATATAAAATAAAATGTTAACTTCACAAATATGTAATATGAATTGGTGGTAACACTACCAGTAATTCCTAAGTATTCATACTGTCTGGGAATGTATTTTCCTTATGGTGTATGCAGACAACAGCTTGTAGATTACTATTTTAAACAAGTCATCATGAGGAAGGAAGCTCGTGTTTGAATAATAAAGAATTAAAATCCTATACGTGTATGAGTTGGAGGAGTAAGGCAGAAGTAGAAGAAATAAAAGTATATTCAAGCTATAGGATTTTTTTTTCACAGAGAGGAAAACAAATCTAGTATTGTGCTAATAATTTAAGGCTACAAGAATAAAAATGAAATACAGTTATCTCAAAAATAATAATTCCTGAAAATCAGATATTTGTGTTAAAAAATGCCAACTGAGAACATGGTCCCCATTATTTTAAATAGAGAATCTTACAGTTTGTCTTTTAAAAATAATGATTACACATCAATTCAGTCCAAAACTTCTAATTTCTGTTTTCCTGAATATTTAAAACTTTTATTTCTTTTAACTTTATATTTTAATGTAATTTCAGACTTACAGGAAGATTTGCAAAGATAGTATAAATCTCTTTATAACCATCATCCAGGTTTTCTAATATTAAATTTTACTACATTCATATAATCATTCTCTCTCCTTCTTCTTTCCATCTATCTAGCTGTATATCCATGTATATCTATCTGCATTTAATCCTTCTTTCCCTCTCCTTATTTATGTGTCCATATATACATATATATGTGTGCCATTATTCACAATAGTTATAGTGTATGTGTGTATTTTCCTAAGCCATTTATCTGATCTGCACACTGAATTCAAGTTTAGTCAACCTTGAGATTCATCTTTGCTGGGTGTAGCTGTAGGTTATTCTCTCGCTCTATATAGTATCCCATTGTTTTTAACTCAATCCATTCTATTGATGAACATTTGCAATGTTTCTAGTTTTGCTCTTACTTATAGTACTGTGTGGATACTTTTTTATGTGTCTTTTGTGCACATATGTATGCATTTCTGTTGGGGATTTACCTGGGATGCTACTCATAAGTTTTCCAAAATAGTTGCACCGGTGTACACATCCACCATCAGCTTGAGCATCCCATAGCTTCCTGTCTTCTTTAACACTTAGGTGTTGTAAATCTAATCTGTTTAGTTTTGAGTGGTAGACACTCAAAATTTAACTCAAGCACCCTTTCCTTGGCAGGACCTTGTCTTCAATTTCTGTCCTTCTCTCTCTATGAGGCTGTCAGTCTTTTCATAGCCTTGCAGCCTCTCAGCCGTGTTTACTGAGCCGGGCAGATATCTTGAGAGAATGCAGCCTCAGTTGCTGGGATCATCTCTCTGGGTCCCTACTTCTCTCTTATCTCAACCCTATCATTCCTCATTGTGTTGTTAAACTGGCTGAGCCTTACAACAGGCATGCCCCTATATTTTCATCAGCCTGAATAGCTCTTCTCAGCGATGGACAGGTCCATGCTATTCCAGAAGCTGACATTTTAGGAGACAATGGTAGCTGACCACTCTCAGGAAACTCAGAGATCAGCAGATAAAAAAAACTAGAATCTAGAAGATTTTAAACTCCTATTTAAAAGCTTGACCTAGTAACCTACTAATATGTATATACAGAGAGATATACATGTGTGTGTGTGATCTGTACCCCAAAGATTAGGTGCTCTTAAAAAGCATATCTTTAAGTTTGTTTTGTCTTCATCTTTAGCTGATCACAATGCACTTGGAGAAATCCTAGGCAAATAATGAAGCATCGGTATCCTATCGACCACACGCAGTGACTATAGTACATTACAATTAGAAATCATTAAACCACGTAAACTCAAAGACCAAAGAGGTATTTTTAAGTGACAACCATATTAGAATAATCTCAGTGGAAATTTAATAAATAATAATAATTTAATAAAATAAAAACTCTTAGAATGGAGAGACCATGTAAGTACTATGCATCAAAATCTGTGTAAAACAGCATACTGGTAATAAGAGGGGACCCACAGCCCTTAATGAATGCTTTGGGGATGAAGTCTGGATTTTAATGCACAAGAACAGAGTAAACCAAAATAAAGTAGAATGAAATAAACAATAAGAAGCAGAAACTAAATAGAGAACAGCCAACGAATCTAAAGCTGAAAATATTAAAATTTGATATTGTCGAGAGTGAAGAAAAAAGTGAGGCTCAAAGCATCAGGAATAAATAGAGTTCATTATTACAGACTCGCTGGAGGTTAAAGAAATATTGGGAGAACGCCATAGGCTACGGTGTGCCTGTAAATTTGAACATTTGAAATGTAGTTTTTAGAAAAATATAAACAATTAGCTGGTTAGTGTATTGAATTACAGGGAAAAATGTTTCTCTTAATCATTGCAGGTAATGCATTTAATAAAATTCCACACCCTTTCATGTGAAAAGAAAAGCTCCGTCTAGAATGAGAAGAAGACTTTCCCTAATCTGATAAAAGATATCTGCCAAAAACTTCTTGCAAGCATTATCATGTTAAAAATAATATACTGATGATTTTCCCATTACGGTCAGAAACGAGCCAAGCAGTAACCTCTCTTGCTAATCCCCAGGTCCTGCTGGGGGTCCTAGGGGATGTCTGAAACCTTGCTCTGCTGCTTGTAAATCAGGCAATTTCCAAAACTTCCATAATTTGCTCAAGGCTGAAATGGCGACAATAGTGTCCCCAGTAGGTTGTTGATGGAAGAATTAACTGAGTCAAGTATAATGCCTGGCAAATGCCCTACAGATAATGATCATCCTGTAGACGGTGACTGTCCTGATGATGCTATATTTCAGTCTACGTTTGTAACCCACCCTTGTTAACTTCTTGATAAACTGGAAATTGAATAGCTAGGACCAAAGGATTTTGCAAATCTAAGCGATTGACGCCTATTGTCAAATGCCTGTCCTACAGCCAGTTTCTTCCCCACACTCACTCACGATTGTTTAATGTAATGTGATTCTAGACCCTTTACCCTCATGGATTCAGCTATTTCTTTAATACATAGACTCTTCGCTGTCAGTGCACCACCTCAATAGCTTCCTCAACGTGGTGTCCCTTTCTCGTATCACTGTGTTATTGCATCCTGGAATTTCATATTTGCTTGCTTTCGAGGTCGTTTGCGTGCTGTCAAGTGACAGGAAAGAAATGTATGACGGCATAAAGAAATTCTTGTGCGTCAATTACCCCATTCCAAGCCAGTGTGTGGTGGCGCGGACCTTAGACAAACCCCAGACGCTGATGACCATTGCTACAAAGATCGCCCAGCAGATGAATTGCAAGATGGGAGGAGCCCTCTGGAAGGTGGAAACAGGAGTACGTTGCATTTCGTTGCCTTCTCTTTATTTCATTTGTGTTTAGTGGAATTTAAGATTCTATTTAACTAGATTTAAAAGGTAATTGTTAAATTTTGCTTGCATTCTCTCCTAACTCAATTTACTACATTTTTAAAAATTTAAGTTGCGGAATACAATGTTCATCGGTATCGATTGTTTCCACGATATTGTAAATCGACGGAAGTCAATTGCAGGATTTGTGTCGAGTGTCAATGACGAATTAACACAGTGAGTATACTTTGGAAGATGTTGTTTAATTGGTAGCTATCTCCAGACCAAGTAGGAGAGGTGGACCTAATTGATGTTTGTTGACATTTTTATAACATAGTCAACTTCTGGTTAAAATTTTAATTTTAAAAGTTAAACTACCCCTTAGCTAATAGAACCTGCCATGTTCTAGGCAGAGAGATTCTTTTTAAAAAAGTGTATTTTATTGAGGTCACCTTGGTTTATAACATTATGTAAATTTCAGGTGTACATCACTACTTCTGTCTAGACTGTATCGTGTTCACCACGCAAAGTCTAGAAAATTCCCTGCTTTTAAAGGGCCTCATTAGATTAGAAGAGGCTTAACTAAAGTTGGCTGTGTCATATAACACAATCACAGAAGGGGCAGCTCACTATAGTCATGGGTTCCAGGGGGGTTAGGACAGGGACAAATCTGCTACAGTAGGGCTCCGATCTGTGAATAGAACATTGAGACAAATATGTAATTTTAACTGATATCTTGGTAAGCGGTCACAATAGCTATTATTGTTGAAGGAAAACTAGTCCTTCAAAGCAGATTATTATAGGTGAGCCAGCGTTTAAGACATGGCCTAGAAGCAGGAATCTCCAGGAGCACTGGGTGTTCATTTTGTGGCATCCCTCTGTAGGTGGAAGGACCGGAGTCTCGCATATTGAAAGCGTGTATGATTTTTAGTAACGTTAATGAATGCTTTCCTGTCTATATTACTATTTGTGTGCATTTAAAATTTTATTAAATGCCTAAGAGATCAGAAGAGACCCATGCTTTGCTGTCTGCATGGGAATGAAAGAAGGGATCCTCAATTGGATCCTCAGCTGCCAATAATGATTTTCTGGGTCATAGATTAATCCAGAATCAAAATGATGACATTCATTTTCCAAACTCTGAAGGCTTCTTTTTCTCCAAACAGGTGGTTCTCTCAATGTATCTTCCAGGAATCGGGGCAGGAGCTTGTGAATGGGCTGAGGGACTGCTTGCAAGGTCAGTGTCCGGGAGAAGTTGGAGCACTTGAGTCTATACCGGTACTTCTCCACCAGTGCGGATACTGACCCCCGGGGACATTTGGCAATGACTGAAGACACTGTTGGTTGTCACAACTGGGATGGAGAAGCTACTGGCATCTAGTCTAGTGGGTAAAACATTTTACCACCCATGGGACAACAGCACCCCCACCCCCACCGCAGAGAAATATGGCTCAAAATTTTAATACTTTCATTGAGAAACCCTGATTAGACTGAGGACTTAAGCAGTGCAACGGTCCCGAAAGCTATGCTATTGAAAAATGAACCTAGAAGGGGTCAAACTAGCATTGGCCAGTTTGTTCCAAGTTATGGCTCATTTACTTGTGTTTCTGGCTTCCTTTTAGCTGCTCTGAAGCTCTGGCGTGAACATAATCCATTTATGCCACGTTCTGTTATTGTGTATCGGGATGGCGTGGGAGATGGTCAGCTTGAAGCATTGATTAAGTATGAGATACCACAGATTTCATCCTGCTTAGAAAGTATTTTACAAACGAACGAGTAGGTATATCAGTTATAAAGTGCAGATTTTGTAAGCTCTACATTTTAATCTTGGACGAAGATCTGACAGTTTGATGTGTGAATTATGAGAGAGAAAGAGCTAGAGAAGAACAGAGGCTTCAGTGGATGGGTGGGGAGAACGGAAACCCTTCCCGCTTTGACTCTGTGCTCCACGCCCACGTCAGAGTACGGAGCAGAAGTGGAACATTGCAGTAGAAAATTTTTCCCCCATGGAACCCCTAGGAATCTTTCTCTTTTTCTAACGTCCCTTCAAGCCTTTGATGCAGGAGGGCTTGCTAACGTCAGATATTCGTTAAAATCCATGAACATAGTCTGTCAATGGTTTCTACTTATCCAACTCCTTTATGCTGGAGTTTTGTGGGTCCCAGGGCCGGGGATCCCTCCAGCTGCCCCCTCTGGCCTCAGCTGTTAGTCCTTGAAGCCTGGTGCCCAGCATAGATAGCAGAAGTGGTCCTGACCTTGTGAGGAATGGACCCTTCCCCTCGGAGATGGGTGGCTGTTGAACCCTCCTTCTCTACTGCTTGAATCAGGCACTAAGACAGTAAAGTTGGGAGTGATGGAGAACTGCCATCTGCAGATTCTTTTGAATGGCTCCTGTGTTTGCGGTGTTTTGACACTCTGAATGCTTCTAAGATAACACTAAGTGAACATAGTGACCCTGATTATGATTTTTTTAAGTGTCAAACTAGCTGTCATTGTGGTGAAGAAACGAATCAACACCCGATTTTTTGTTGAGTCTGAAGGAAAACTTCGAAATCCACGTCCAGGAACAGTCGTTGATGTAGAGTTGACCAGGAAGGAGTGGTAAGCCACCTTTATTTATTCTAAATATTCCCTTTTATTCAAATAGTAACAGAATTTTTTGAGGTTTGCATGATTTGGAGGAGAAAGGAAGAATTGACCTAAGGAAGGTTAAAAATTGTATGAATAGATACATTGGATTATAGATTTTTCTGTCTTCAACCATTTTCTTCTCACAGAATTTTAAAAATATACTCTAAATAGACTTATCACTCTAAGATTGTGCTGTTATAAGGAAGAATGATAGAACTTCTTTAGACTTGTAAAGTCAATTAGCAAGTGAGAAAATTATGCCAGACCACAGCAGGAAATAAAGCATGACATTCATACCAATTAGGGAGAAAGGAAGTAAAATTAAAGAAGGACATTGTTCAATCTAGTAGAAACAGGAAAGGATTAAAGAAAAAAGTAAATGAAAAGTATGATCAACACAAAGCATAACATAAGACGATACACATAAAAATAAATTCAATATTTACAATAAGTGGATTAACCTTACAAGTCCTATCATTTAGGGAGTTTGAATATATTCACGTGATTCTCAGGGAGAGGCGGGAAGTGTCCACCCTGGATCTCTGAATCAAGTTACCTATGACCATATCAAATGTGCCAGTTTCATGTTTTTACCTCTAGATATCACTACTTACGCTTGTAAGTCTAAATCCCATGAGAGTTATTACTTGTGTGAATATCGTCCTGGCTGGATTTGCTTATCAAGTCAGTGCTCAACGGTTAGCTAGGCTTCTAAATGTAAAGGAAACTGTCTGTAGGATGGATTTCTGTAAATGAATGTCATTTCAGATACCAGGTTCGCTACATTCTTTTTCTTAAATAAGCTTAAATACCCACACGTTCTGTAATTCCAGGTACGATTTTTTTATTGTGAGTCAGTCTGTGAAAGATGGTACTGTCACGCCTACTCATTACAACGTCATCCACGACACCGTTCGCTTGAGCCCAGATACGGTCCAGGGGCTAACTTACAGACTATGCCACATGTATTATAATTTGCCAGTGAGTATTTTTTTGGATACTGATTTTCCTTCAAATCTGGAAAATGGTTCAAAATCGAATCTGTTCTTTTTGAACCTTAGAATTGATATCGGTGAAAATTTAAATTTAGGAAAAGTAGATATAAGGTTAAAATATTTGTTTCTCCTAAAGGGTGTCATCCGAGTTCCGGCTCCTTGCCACTACGCCCACAAACTGGCTTACCTCGTGGGCCAGAGTATTCACCAAGAGCCACATCATTCCCTGACAAACCGTCTCTTTTACCTTTGACCTACAGAAGGAGGCCAGATGGGATGTGGAAGACCACAATTTGGAAATGGATTGATTTTTTTCCTTTTGAAGCTGTACGTCTCAAATATTTTCCTGGACGCAGAGTTTTAGAGTCTAATCATCCTTGATTGGACATGGAGGAGATTCAGGGGGGTGGATGCTATTTTCCATCCTACCACTGACTTAACATGAGACTTCTGTTTTCCAGGAGGGAGAACTGACAGTGAGGGTTAGGTCTTGCAATTTACCTTTCAAATGTGTTACAATGACTTTATGATGAAAGGTGCCTGCATGTTTTGCACTCTGAGCAAGGCTGCTTGATTAATTGCAGTGGTTGGGCATTAGCTACCTGGAGGGTACATCTACGAACTAGTCATTCTATTTGGAAAGTGATAGATACTTTATTTTTGAAACATTTTGTTTTTAAAGGACAGCAAACTGATAAAAATAGCAAAATTAAATGGGGATTTGTGTTATTTAATATTTTGTATGAAAGAAAGAACCTATATGAAGTATTGTTTATTCTTGGTACTGGGGTGGGAATTTGAATGTATTTTTGGCGAAGCTGTAATAAAGGAGAGCCTTGTGATTTAAAAGTTGGCAGCTTAGGAACATTGAGACATTTTGTCACTTTTTCCACAAAGAAGGGAAATTATGAGCTCTATTAGCATTTCTGTTTAATTCATCCTCTGGAGCATGTTCCAAGTGGGATATTACCGTGTTAGCTGTACAATAATCAGAAGAGACTCCTGAATAAGTTGTTTAAATGAAGCTATTATGTTTCTCCTGAAAGTAAACACGTTATTTTCTCTCCAGTTAAAACTATCTTTAAATAGAATCCGGAAACAGTACGTGAAACTTGGTTTTCTTATACTCCTAAATAGAGTGGTATTTCCGGGGAGGGGGTAATGAGTTTCAGAAATATACCAGAAAGGGTATGTTTATAAACAGTATAGTTCCTTTGACTATTAGTTCATCAATTTAGGTTTGCAATCGAATTCATCTTATAAGAGATAAAATTAAAGCAAGTCATTTAAAAATATATCATAATCTAGTAACCTCTACCCAACAGTACTGCCAGTAATGATAAATATAATACAAGAGATGGGTCCATGATTAAAGAAAGTTAAGGCAATATGTTCTTTTCAAAAATAGAATTTGATTTATGATAGTACTTTCTAGAAATCTATAAAAATAATTTGGAAGGAACAGATTCAAAGTAGTTATTAAAAACTTTCTGAATGTTTCCTATAAATGCAATGCAAATATCATTTATTCATAGCACTATACAATAATGTCTAGATTTATAAATTTAAAACGGTGTGATTCAATAAAGATATTCATGTTAAAATCATTGAATTGGGTCATATTATTTTAAAAATACATGCTGGTTTTAGGCTTCTTAATCTACTGATTAGAAAAAATTGTTGCTTTTCTAAGAAATGGAAATATTGTGACTAGGGAGCTATCTGATTTTATTAGCCTACTAGTCCTTTATAAGTTAGATGAAGGAAGCTGAGTATTCAATATTTCTAGGAGAAAGCCTTACTATCCCAAAGGTTTATAGATAAAATTTTTATAATGTATCACAGTGCCTAAGTTTCACCTTACTGAATAGGTGTTTGGGGAACTAATTAAAGGTCTTCCAGGAATGGATTTGAGCTAAGTAGCAATACAATATATAATTTAAGGAAAGTGAACTTGCTCACTCTAGCAGTAGTAAATAAATCGTATATATCAAACCTCCCACTGAGTAGAGCTGAAAGCTGGACAAGATATTAGAAAAGAACGTTGTATAGTGTTACCAAGCAAAGGCTCACTGCCTGATGAGCATAGAAGCGACCACTACAGCACCAGGTTTTGAGAGAAGAAAGAGCTTTCTTGCATGGCCACCAGCAAGGAGACAGGAGGCAGGGCTCAAATCTGTCTCCCTGAGCTGAAGCAGGGACACACTTTTAAGGAGTTGGGAGTGGGAGTGGTTACATGAAATGCAATTGCCCGCCTGTGCTGTGCTGCTGGCCTTCCTGTGGGGCTGCATGAAGTGAGCCCTGGGGCTCCTGCCCTGGGGCAAGACTCTAGGGCCTTCCTGCTGAGGTGGGGGCCGTGGTTCTGCTCTTCTCAGGGTCTCAAGGCTCCTGCCTCTTGGGGCTGCCCCTGCCCTAAGCATTTCCTTCTTCGCATGCCAAAGGCTGTCCCTGTGTGTGTATGTGGGGGGAGGGGCCCTCAGCCCTCCCCCATTCTGCTTAGAGGCCAGGATACTTGAAGAAGTGCCTAGGCCTCAGACCCTAGCTTCCCTTTCCTGCTCTCCAGGCTAGTCCAAACAGGGTGTGTCACCTACCAATCCTTAGCCCTAATCCCACCCACACCCCATCTCCCAGCCCACATCCACCTGTGTCCTCTGAGACTGGGCAGAGCTGGGACCAGCTTGATATTCCTTCCTGGCCAGCTGGGATTCCCGCTGGACTTCATCTCCTGCCTCGTTATTAAAGGTTTCACCCCTTGCTGTCACCATGGGCTTCGGGCAGATCAAGGTAGGCTTGCTAGTTGGCATGGGGGCACCTGCTGGGTGGCAGGACAAAGGCTGGGTTCTAATATGTGCGGGCTACTGGACATCTTGCTGTTTCAGAGATTGAAGCTCGAGGTGCTTGCCAGGGTCCCCATTAATGACCCCTCAGAGAAGATGTTGAGTGATGGTCAGATTGTACAACAGGTCAATTGGGGACCAGTAATGACAGCTCCATGAATGGCAGTTTACCCCAGTGTGCTTGGTTCCCTCACGGAGTGGTTCATTCCTCTGCCTGTTCTGCGCACTCTGCCAGCAGCCTTCACAGGTCACCAGCTTCCTGCCAAAATTTCCACAAGCGAATGATTCCCTCACACTCATTTAGCTAGATGATTTCATCTTTATGTTTTCTAATTTCTGTTTAATAGTTTTCGAATGCCATGCTTCTTTATATGAATATTTTAGCGTCTGTGAGAAACCTTAGGGTCACTGATCATCAGTTATCCGAGGCCGTCACTGATTCTCCTTCCCCTGGGTTTGACGTTCCTGGGGGGCAGGAGCTGTTGTGCCCCCGACCGTGGCTGCCCAGCACTGTGCTTGGTATAAAGTAGCTTGGGTGGGTGTGCAGAATGGGCCTGAGCTGCTTTGTGCAAATGAAGCCATGGGGCTCTGGTGGCAGACTCAGGGCCAGCCCCCTGCCTCGTGACTTGCTGTCCCCACCCGGGTCTTTCCAAGGCCTGGTTCCCACAGCCAAGCTCTGCTCCAGGCTGGCCCCTGACAGTTTTCCTTGATGGCGGGCAGGGGGCAGGTCAAGGACAGGAGGAGACATGTGTGTGAGAATCAAGTAGCTGACACATCTTCCCTCTGCCTCTGTGCTGGGACTGGGGCCACACTCTCCCTGTGCTTATTTCTCACCACACCCCCGGGAGGCATTTTTACCATCGACTCCATTTAGAGAGGAGGAAACCCCTTAGAAAGGTGGGGTGAGTGCGATTTCTATATTATGTGCACACACATGTCAGGGGAAGCTTGGCAAATGTGGTTTCGTGGGAGGGTCTGTCCTCTCTTCTGGAACAACATCCTTCCTTTTTAGGGTCAAGAATGTTCCTTGATAGGATGATAATTCGTGTAGAGGCAGCTTCTTTATGCATCTGTACTTAGCGACCTTAGGCCTCCAAAGTCATTGAACCTTGACTGTGTCAGGACAGCCATCTGAGAGCCCCTAGGCTGGGGTGGGGGTGGGTCCTCCTTACCTGCCCAGGACATAAGTGGGGGAAGGTGGAGGTTGGAGGTGTCTCCTGGCTAAGCAGCCAGGACTTCTTGGCACCAACACCTCAGGCCCCTTGGCCCTGGTGGGTGGCATGAGCCCAGGGGAGCGTATTGTGGTCGGTGATGGTTGTGTGAACTGAAGGGGGACAAAGGTTGGCATCAAGAACAGGTGCACAGCTTTGTGACAAATCGGAATGTCTTTGTCTTTGTGTTTGATCACTCGTGGAAGGTACTTTAAAGCCTGATGGATTTTAATAGACACGCCCTGCAACATCACTGCAAAGTACTGAATTCTCAGGATCCTTCATCACTCTGCCCGCTGGTCGTGCTGACTCACGTTTATGTCTGTTATCTTATATAGAGTTAGGATTAGACTCAGGGTCGACAAAGAGTGTTTTAAAAACATTGTTGGATTCTTATCAGTTGTATCCTGAAGGCGTCTCTCACTTCTGGAATCCACTCCAACCACGAGGAGGAGAGTCCCTCCAACGCCTATGAAATGGAATCTTCAGGAGTTTTTAGTTTTAAAACCGGGGATCTGCAAGATTCAGTTCCTCATGATTGCAAAATATGTATTTCTTAATATTTTGGTTTTGCACAAACTGATGCTTTTGAAAGAGGTGTTGTTAGTTGGGCTCTTTGACTTTTGAGGCCATCTTTAGGGGTGGAGCAGTAATAAATGTGGGTCCACTTTCACATTCAGGGTGCAGATCCGTGTGACCCAAACTGTCACACTTTCCATTTAGTGACATCTCTGTGTTCCCCTGCCCCTGAGTGATGATGATTCTCTTCTGACACTTGGGAATGTGTTTTTTTAAACTTCAGGTGCCTTTTTAAAACAATTCAAACATGAAAATCCTCATGAATATTTCAGGATGTCCTGGTACCTGGAACATTAACTAATAGAATTCCTCTGGGTTTTCATTGCCCTAGTTCAGGTCCTTTCAAGTGAGTGAACAAGATTCTGTCTTCCCTTCCGGGGGTTACTTTCTATGTTGACGGTGCGTAATATAGTGTTTTAATGCTCATAACAGCTTTATTGAGATACAGTTCACATATAATACAAGTCACACTTGAAGGTGTGCAATTCAGATTTTTTAGTACACTCACAGAATTGTGCAACATCACCACGATCGATTGTGGAAACTTTCCCTCATCGCTCTAAAGGGAACACCTTCCTCATTAGGGACAGTCCCATTTCCCCTAACCCCTCAGTCCTAGGCAAACACAGATTCTCTTTCTATTTCGATGGATTGCCCTATTTTGAACATTCCATGTCAATGGACTCATACAATGTGTGACCTTCTGTGTCTGGTTTCCTTCATGCAGCATAATGGTTTCAGGGCCCATCCATGTTGTGGCGTGTGTCAGTACTTCATTCCCTTTTGATTGCTGAATAATATTCCACTGTGTGGCTGTAGCAGTTTATTTATCCATTTTTCAGTTGATGGACATTTAGATGTTTCCAATTTTGGCTGTTATGTGAGGGTTCCAGTTTCTCCAGATCCTCACCAACACTTACCGTCTTTCTGATTCTAGCCATGCTATGGGTGTGAAATGATATCTCACTGTGGTTTTGAGTGGTATTTCTCTGGTGGCTAATGATGTTGGACATCTCTTCAGGTGCTTAATGACCATTTGTGTGTCTTCTTTGGAGAAATATCTGTTCAGCTCATTGGCCCATTTTCTAATTGGGTTATTCGGGTTGTAACTGAGTTGTAATAGCTCTTTATATATTCTAGATATGTTTCTGATCAGATATATGAGCTTCAAATTTTTCTCCATGTTGTGAAGAGTCTTTTCACTTTCTTAATGGTGTCCTTTGAATCTCAAAAATTTTACATTTTATTCCTAATGAAATCCTACTAGTTGGAAATTATTTAGACATTAAATCGTATCCTCATCAATATTTTGGTTATATGAATTAAAAACCAAATATGAAAGGCTTAGAAAAGATTTGAATGAGTTTGTTTCAAGGTTTGCTCTAGATCCAAAAGAACTCATCAGGGAACACGTCATTCCCCTGTTCGGGTATTTCAGTATTGTCCTTTTAATGTCCTTGGGATCAGTAATCATAATCCCTTCTCATTTCTGTTATGGGTAATTTGTGTTTCTCTCTTCTTTTTCTTAGTAAACCTGGATAGAGGTTATCTATATCTTTGATCTTTTCAAAGAACTGATTTTGGTTTTATTGATTTCTCTACTGATTTCCCATTTTCAGTGTCATTGATTTCTGCCATAATTTTTATGATTTCCTTTCTTCTGTTCGCTTTCAGCTTGCGTTGTTCTTTCTCTAGCTTAGATTATCATTTCAGATCTTTCTCTTTTCTATCTGTGCATTCACTGCTATGAATTTCCTTCTGGGTCCCGCTTCCACTGTATTCCACACATTTTGATAAGTTGCATATTCATATTAACTTAGTGGAAAATATTTGAAATTCCTCTTGAGACTTTTTTTTTTTGGATCCATGTGTTGTTTAACTGCAGCTATTTTGGGATTTTCCAGCTATGTTTCTGTTCTTTTCTACTTTAATGTGTTTCTTT